AGAGAGAGAGAGAGAGAGAAAATTATATGTAGATGTTAACATCAAACGTTGTTACTTTTTAAATCTAAATGCCGAGTAGTAATTGCAGCCATATTGAATAGTGACGTAATAAGCGAGAAATGATACGTTAGAGTTCTTTGTAAATAAAGAGAATTTGGATAAAAAAATAATGAGATTGCTTCAAAACATATATAAAAATGAATTGAACCTATTCTTGTCTCCTGCGACAGTCAATAAGTAGTCAAAAAGGCACTTAAAGTGAAAAAATATTACACATGCGCATTAAGTAAACGCGTTTTTACTATTTACTGACTATCAGCGGAGCCATTTTTACAAGTATTTTAAAACAATCTTGTTATTTTGTTTTACTCAAATTCTTTTTGCAAATAGCATGCAAGAAATCAAAGAGGATTAGATAGAGCGAAAGGTTCGTGTATGTCACGACGAGAGTCCGATGCATATTTATGTTCTTAATTTCATTTTTAGTGTATGTAGATAGAACGAAATATCAGGTATAAAAAAGTATTTGGTCGTGTAACTTTAGTGTAGAGGAATCTCATGAAAATGAGGAATCTCTAGTTCGAAATTCGAATTCTGTTCGACTCCGTTAATTTTTTACTTATTACTATTGATAAATGCAGCATCAGACTCACAAGATAGCGTAATATACGACAGTAATTATGTATTGACAGTAATATACGTGAAAATATATTACGATTTCATAAAGACTTTCCGCTCTGTCCAATCCTCTTTGTAAGAAACTTCAACATGTCGATTTTCGTCAAGTGAAGAGCTGGTATCGATTCTGGAAGTAACACTTTGAATGAGTACGAGTTGATGTGAATGTAGAGTCTCTATTCCCCGAAGAGGCTATCACTGGATTTTTTGATCCAAAATCATCGCATGATACTGTGATCTTGTGCATTTGTTCGGAAGTCCAAACAAGGGAATTTCAAGAAGAATAAGAAGAAGAAGAACAAACTTCAACATGTCATTTCTCGCTTATGACGTCACGATTCAATGTGGTCTCGGCGACTACTTAGGAGACTTTTACGTATATTTCTAAGGAATAAAAATCTATTTGCATGCGCTAGCATTTATTCACTAAGATAAGTAAATTGTTTGCACATCATGTTAAATGACATTTTCAGATAATAATCTGTTCCATTATTTATGTAGAACTTTTAGTCTAATTATTTCCTCTTCTAAGGCGATCGTCAGTTGACTGCGATTATTTATATATATATTTTTACTTTAGTTTCATTTAATCGGACTTGACATTGGAATTTATTATTACGTGCCTTTGGGAGAAAGTAGTGTGTATGGGCGTTTACTTTCTGGAAATGACGTAAACGCTTGTTCGTAAAATCCCTTTTGTAGGTCTTTTATTTGTACACGAGCGTTTCTCGATCGTTTGCCTTTATTATATGCTTGAATTTTTACCAATGCAATTTCGTGTATTTTAATTGATTTATTAGAGATATCAAATATTCGATCGTAAACGTTGATACAAGAATTTACTGTTGACTATTTTAATTATTATCTTGGAAAAATCTCGATTACATTAGCCACATCACATAATTTCGGGGTTTCGTATGGTAAAAGAAGCGTTTGTACGGAACGTGGGAAATCTCCGTTTATATAATGAAATGTGAGCCAAATGAAAAATTTTAATAAATCTTGAAGCTTTCTCATCGAGAAGTAAGCCGACAGGTTGTTAAATATATTAGGATCGATTTAAAAATTTTCGAACAAATCTATTGCGTTTCCGCTGTTAAATCGAAGGAAAAGATATTTACTACGAAAGATTTTATAATCATTCTTTCTGTGGGTGTAGGAAAAATATAGGAAGGGATGATACGAGCTAGATAGTAATAAAAAATGGATTTAGTTAAAATAATTATTGAAATGTTAGCTATATAGCGTTAAATAAAACTGTATATAAGTGTGCGTGCGTGCGTACGCATACATTTATACATTATATATACAAGCACATATACAGGGAGTCCGATAAGTTCGACTCAGTTTAGTCCACTTTACCTGGGGCTCTATTCTGTACGCGCTAGTTGTCTATGGCGTTATGTGTTGTTGCGCAGTCTTTTTACCATACAAAATATCTACGCAATGGCACATAACAACACCATTATCAGTAGACGTGTACAGAAAGCACCTTTGCACACAAGCACTTTGTCAAAACTTACAGAATATCCTGTATATATGTATACATACACATACATACACATAAAACACACACACACACACAATAAAACTCATAAGCTGGTGACATTGGCTCATCGTTCTTTAAACATTGACTTGTATATTTATAAATATTACATAACGAGAATAATTATAGATAATATATTATACAGAGATGCTTACACACACACACACATACACACACACA